CCCAGCTCCTAAGATGATAAAAGTGCTACGAAATGTAAGGATAAGCATTAGCTTTTAATGATTCCATAGCTTCTAAAGTGAAGTATTACTCAATACTTTTCATGGTCAATCACCTAATGAGTGTGAAATGAGGCCGTTTCTAGGAGAATGAATGCAAGGCTATATTCTCTAAGTTCACTCATGAAAACCAGGAATAGTTCAGGGCCACAATGAACACAATAGAGAACTTTCAAGATGCTCTTTTACTTCGACGCAATACGGACAACAGAGCCTCTACATAAAACACCGGTTGGTTCAAGACATCATGTTCACCTTCTGGTAAAGTAAACCCGACAGATATTAACTATGAGTGGTTCAAGGCTTAAAAATGCCACCAACTCAAACACAGTGAATTTTTCGCAAACACTCTCGATAAGTCTGTTTAAGTCTAATCAGGATTAGAATAAATAACTTTTAGAGTCTGTCGAGTCTGCATATAGTGTGCATATGTTTAGAGTCATTTCTATTCATGTGTGGGATTGTTGGATCATTAAAACCCAAAGGGCTTTAATAACAAATGAAAACAAATGGCTCTTGGCCTTGTCTACTAAATGAACCCAAGAATTAAGTGAATGAAGAGGGGAATTTGTCCCACATCGGTGAAAACAAGTGAGGGGGAGCTGTATATATATGTCATCACATATACCTTGGTTCAAAGGGCTCAGAGGTAGAGAGCTCCCCACGTGCGCGCCGCCGCTGTCCGGCCGGCTCGGCTCGGCTCGGCGTGGGCGTGGGCTTGGGCTTCGGCTTGGGCTTGGGCTTTATTGGAGGGCCTTTGGCCCGATAAGAAGTTATCTTTTTGGACCAAATTAAGCCCAACGCTTTGCCATTTTTAAATTTAAAAACAGCATGACGTGTGTAAATAAACAACACGTACTTTGTGTAAAAACACAAAGTCTATCTGTTTGCAAAACAATTTGAACGAGTCAAATAAAAGAGAAGATCTTGCGGATCTCAGATCTCAGCGAGATTCTCGCCCACGTGCAACAGTTGTTGCGGGAAGTGGGTCTTCTCCGTCTCTTTAAATATTGTCTCTCCTCCTTCTTCATTCTTAACTTTTTAACGCAAGTAATCCAACAAAAAACTCCCAAAGTAAGTCTAGAGAGTGTTTCGTAATTTTTTAGTTCGTTAGGTCGTTTCACGAGTGAAGCGTGATTCGTCTGCCATGGTTGTATCCTGGGACTCGATATTCGTACAGTTTCGTCTCACTACGGAGTGAATATTAAGAGTTAAGGAAAGAGATTTATCTCGCCTCCATGTCTTATATAATCGTCTATTTCCTTAACTCCGTCTTTCTTATATCGTCTATGTCGATCCGGTTTTCCGGCTTCTACACTGACCTCCATTGGCAAGCTGCGAAGACAGTACTACGCTATCTTGCTGGTACCATGTCCCATGGACTCTCCTCTTCTTCTTCATTTCTCCGATTCTGACTGGGCAGGGAACACAAAGGATTATGTTTCCACGAATGCTTATGTCATCTATCTAGGGTAACAATCCCATCTCATGGTCTTCTAGAAAGCAACGCGGTGTTGCACGATCTTCCACCAGAGGCGGAGTATCGAGCGGTTGCTAACACGGCAGCTACGGTGGCTCTGCTCTCTCCTCTCTGAACTTGGTCTCAAGCTACATACCGTACCAGTAATCTATTATGATAACATTGGTGCAACCTATTTCTGTTCTAATCCAATCTTTCATATCAGGATGAAGCACATAGCATTGGACTATCATTTTGTTCGAAGTCAAATTCAAGTGGTGTTTTGCGTGTGACTCACGTCTCAACTCGTGATCAATTAGCAGATGCGCTGATAAAACCATTGCCTGGATAGAAATACCACGCTGCAATATCCAAGATTGGAGTGACTGGAAGCCCTTCCATCTTGAGGGGTATATTAAGGATAGTGCATCTAAATATGTAAAGTAGTATATACACATTGATCGTAATTGATCTAGACCTAGACTCTCCTCTCCTCTCCTTTTGTATTCTTTTATATACCTTGTACATTCTCCTATGTTAATATACATCTAAATATTCAAACCTATAGATTAAACCAGAGTAAATTAAAATTAGGTTGAAGACAAAAAGATTTTCAGACAGTTAACAAACGCCAACTCTACTAAATCCACTCCAAAAATATCTAAGAGATCCATCAAAAATCACCTTCTATAATCAAAGAAGCTTTACCTTAGTTTAAGATTGTAAAGATTAATTCCCTTTTTTTTTTAATAAAAAGGTAAAGTTGATATGGTGAACAAGGAATCTGATCAAGGGTCGTATGGGATTGGAATTAAGAACAGCCAGAGGTTGAAACTATAACACCACAAAAGTCTTCTAGCAAAAAGGAGGTCTGACTATGCTGAAATTTACAATGATCCTTATGATCGAAGCTAGTAACAAAAAAAGAAAAAGAAAAACAAGAGGATCAGTAACCAGCGACTAAAAAGTCACCGTACCGGCCATCGGAGATGAGCTATGATTTAGAGTTTGTAGAGAGAGGTTTTGTGCTTTTTCATCGTCGTTTAACTCTTACTAGGTGACCGGCCCGCACCCTGTGTGGACATAATTATGTTCAAAAAATTATTATAATAGTGTATCGGTTTAGAAGTAACGGACTGTACATCATCATATTACCATGTTTTGGAGAAACCCTACACCATGGAGAAAAGCCGGTACTCAATATTTGACATTGTATGAGAGGGTATAAAATAACGCACATGGTGCGAGCAGTTATTGTGTGTATGTATAATTGCAAAGTCTCAAAATAATTAGTGTGTTTTACGAAAATATTTTGATTCGTCATCTAATGGATTTGCTAAGACTTCTTATAAATATTGTACAGTTTTAGAAGTAACAGATTTTATATTATCCTTTGTAATTAGAATTGTATTGTATATATGTTGTAATTTTTATTTTTAGGTGAATAATAGTATTATGTTTAATTTTCATAATTATATCTGTACACATATTAAAAGAAAATATAATAAATTTCAAAATAAGCTCCCAAAATAAAATTAAAATTATTATCCATAAATAATATAAATTTATGAAGTACAAAATCTCGATAAAGGTGTATCAAATCCATTAGACACCTGCAAAAAAATATTTTAGTTTGTAAGCTCTAAGATCGGATAACATTCTGTGATAGATATAAAATAATTTCTGAATTTTATTGTATCAGTAAATAATATTAAATTCCATACCGTCATAGAAATAGACAGAATGATGGATGGTAATCAAATAAAATCTCTCTGGTACCTGACTACGGAATATTCTGGAAAACTTTTTTGTAGACAACATTCAATGTTTTGGTCTGCTGCTTCGATTCTTTACCAGTTATTAGGATTTTTAATCCCGATCTCGACTGAACTCTTGAAAGTGCTACGTAGAGCTGAACATGAGAGAATACTGACCTAGGCAGGAACAAACCAACACTTTCCAGTGTTTGACCTAGACTTTTTTTGATGGTCATCGCGAATGCCAATGTAACAGGAAACTGTCTTCGACGCATTCTGAAGGGAAACTTTGTGTCAGGTGGTGTGACAAACATTTTAGAGATCCAAACCTTGTCACCCACAATATTGTTTCCGGTTATAATTCTACCTTCTATCACATGGGGCAGTAACTGAGTAACAATTAGCCTAGTACCATTACATAAGCCATCAGCAACATCAATGTTACGGAGACACATAATAGGAGCACCCACCTTTAGCTTCAAACAATGTCTAGGCAGTCCAACCACTTTTACACTGTTCAAAAACTCTACAGGATATACTACAGTTTCTTCTATGTCAACATCAGATGTGATAATACTGTCTGAGCTAAGGTAAACCTTCTCTTCACCTGAAATTATATAAATCCTTTTCTTTAGTGAGGTCAGGTATATGAGTCTATAAAGACCTCAGCAATAGTGTTATTTTTTTTTTTTTGGCATCCAGCAATAGTGTTATTAAGAACAAATAATATCTTTTTTCTTGAGCGTCTTTTTATTTTCATTGGTTTGATTCAAATAGAGAGAAAGACAAACTAAAAAGATCACACTAATGATATTAATTAGATTGTATTGATGATGATATTTGTTATTCAGAAGTACTGGATAGAGGGTAAAGCTAAGAAGAACTGCTTCATGTTGTACGCGAGAGATCTAGCAATTTCATTAGCTGAGTCTTAAACAAATAATAACTGGAGTTGGTTTTCTGATCTAGACCAAACATCCAGGTTTGGAACTTTTGGTTAAGACAAGTGTGTATTTTCAAGTTTTCATTTTTAAATCTCTATATTTGTCAACAGTGATGCAACAGTGGAAGTGAGGTCTGGTCGTGAAAGGTGTTTCTATTAGACCAAAGAATTAAAACATATAATCTTTGTAAGCTTAAACAATAAAATCGAATATGAAAGCGCTATTAATATGATTTTCTGTACACCATATAAAAATGTTATGTTTACCAAGTCCAAGCAATGGCTCAAATAGTAGCAAAAATAAATTGCTCGGAAGACTATGATTGTAAAGCACATCATCATACCACTAAACCTTCCCACAAGTCTCATGTCCATACTGAGTTTTTCAGTCCCAATCAAATAATCTTATTCTTGGCTGAACCAATAGCACCAACATTTTCCAACCAAAACCGCAATGCTTTCACCATATTTCACTATACTAATACAACCACAAGTCTTTGGTAATTTATGCTATTCTTCTATACACTATAAAACTCTCTGTGATGATCCTATTGGTTCTACATGAACAAAAGCAGGAAGTGAACCATCTTTTCTTGGAGTTAGTGTTGGGGTTCGAGCTGATCTACAGGCTAAGAGTAAACTAACGTTGCTTAGAGCTTAACATTAAGAAGACATAAATAGTTCACAGTAGATCATCAGATAAGATATGGCATCATGACCCGTGACGGAAGTTTTTGCTTGAAGACATGTCAATTCTGATTTTTTTATTTATTTTTTTTTATAAACTGAATCGTGTACGCTTAAAGAGCAATTCAGAACACGACACTTATTATTATGGTTAATGTACACGGGATTCGTTTGCTATGTACAGACGCAGACGCTTAGACATGACACATTACAAACGGTAAGATGCGGTTTTATGCATCAACAGAGACATACACAACATTAAGCTCGACATGTTGTCTACCATCGCCTTGTGGATGGACTGTTAAAGTTGCACGAGCTTCAGCCTGTGGGTTTTCATCATCCCCTGGTCTAGACACCGATATTGAGCTCACTGTTGGCGCAGCTGTGGCATCATTCTTGTTGTTGCCGTCTGATATGATATCCCACGATTCTTTCACAGAAGCAACCTCCACACCATTTTCATGGTGTTCCTCCATCTCGAATGTGGTGGGAAGGATGACGTAATCGTTTATAGGGTTGTAGAAGGGGTCAGGCTCGCCTACGTTTAGCCATTGTTTGAGCATCCGGAAGACACGGTGGTCGTTGAGGATTCCTCGGTGCTCACCGGGGACTCCAACTCTTGCTACTGCTTCAAGCCCATCCGCCTAGAAGGTAACAACCAAAGAGAAATGATTAACCTAAACTCAATCAAACCCAAGATTTCTGATAAACACAACAACATACCATGGCAGATTCCACTGGGACTGTACCATCACCGTCAACACATATATACGTCGGCTGAGATAACAAAGGAAGATGATCAGAACATGAAAAAAAATATATTACAATGATAGTTGATTAAGTTACCTGGAAGTATCTTAGGTTCGTTAGATCTTTGACAGGCATCTTCTCATTCCCATAGCTGCAGAGGTTTATTATATATCGAATTTTAGAGAGAAAAAAACAGAAGTTTCAAGAAACTGAGACGTTAAATAAAGAAACATTACCAAACACTCTGAGGGGTTGCTAGATTGGTCCCATAGATGTTGTAGAATTTAACTTTAGAAGGAAGCTTGGCATTGTGTAACACTCTCTTGGTTTCGTGAGCCCACTCCATGATCTTCCAGTTAAAAGGTAGATCGATAGGCTCTCCACAATAATCAGGCTGATAAATTTGTGTAGATAATAGGATGATAGGACCAGTCAATGCAACGTTCTGTGCGCATCTTCATTTAATGATAAGTGGTGGTAGGTTGTAACTTACTTTATTATCACAAAGAGATTTGGTAAACACTTCAAGGCTCTCTAGACTACGGTAAGACTCAAGAACAACACCAGAGGACCCAACTCCATCATTGCTCTCTCTCTCTCTCCACAGCTCTAGAACCAGAGGGAGTTCCCAGTTGAAATACGGGCAACTCATCAGTTCATATATAGATGGACACTCAATAAGCTGAAACAACAGCAAAAAATTGTGGTTAAATGTTTGCTTCGTCTACTGTGGGATGATTGTTACCAGTTGATGCATATTCCATCAACAGCATATATGACAAAAAGGGATGATCGTTACCAGTTGATGCATACTCCATTTTGAGACGAAAAAGTTCTGTTCCCAGCCATTGACAAATGACATTCCATTCAGTAAAGTTGATGTGATGTATCCAGGAGCACCTGAAATCAATAAACAAAACCAAATCAACCTAGTAAACTCTCTCGAGTACAATCAGAACTACCACAAGTCTGTTAACTCACCTCGAAATGGAGCAGCAATAGCAATCCAATTCTGCACATACTTCTCAAATACCTGACGGAGAGTAGAAAAGTCAGATTGAGATGTAAAGATAACACTAAAAAAAGCGAATATAACATACATCACTGTAGAGACTCATGAAACATTTGACCAACAGTCCTCCCATAGAATGACTAATAACATTAATCTTCTTCTCTCCTGAAGCTTTGTAAACTGACTCCAACTTCTTAGCAAACGAGTCCATAACTTCCTGCAGTCTACATACCATTGTACAAACAGTCAATACACTTTAATCAAAAAACCAGAAGAGATATGTGTGTGAATATTCACCTGTTGCTTTGTCGAAAATCATAACCAAAACCAAAAAGAGTCTTCCCTTCTTCAAGACCCCATCCAAGCATCTCAACAATCATCTCATGGAAATAAAACACAGACTCACGCCCAACAATCTACACAAACCCTTTAACTTGCGTTCGGTTTATAGACATTAGGACATCGTATATATATTGTCAATCTTTCCTAATGGTATGAGATTGACATATTTGGCATTTAATTTCCAACTTCTTACGCAAGTTATCAAATATAATGTAAGGAAAGTAAATAACCTAACAAAATTTTAGAGATACGATTCTCATTTATTAATACGGTCACTTGCACTCCGAAGAAAAAATAAATAAAAAAGAAAATTAAAATAAATCAACCAATCAGATTAAAAGAATTACTCTGAGAAGGCCTGTATGAGTGCCACGTGTCAAAGTGACTTCTCTTTTAATGTATAGGGGGATGTACTATTGTTTTTTTTTTTTGATAAAGGGCTTCTCTTATGTACTATTGTTTCTAGAAATTTGGTATAAACTTTTAAATTAATATAAGAAGAAGTGTATGAATTTTAATTTTAAAAATAGTTATTATTGTATAATCTTATGTTATTTTCTTCCTACATAAAATGTAGTTATAAGTTTTGTTTATTTTAATCTTAAATATAAATTATAGAATTTTCTTGATTTTTAAACTTCAGTTAATTTCTATTAGATAAATCTCAAAAATTACCAAAAATGTATATAATTACATCAAAGATTAAAATAAACAAACATTAATTTCTATTTTTTTTCTCTGGATATTATTTGTGATGTGATTTCACATACGTCATATTTACAATTACTTTTACCAGATGTGACATGAAAAAATACATTTAATAGTTATTTCAATTTTTGGTAAACTTTTGAAAATATGGTAATAATTCATATATCATTATTAAAATAAATATATTCAAATATCTCTTTAGAAAATATAAATAATAGAAAATTTTAAATATCTAATTTTTTTTGAAATATCATTTAAGTATATTTTTAGGATCATAGAATTTTTAATATTAAACAAATTTTCAAAATTTTATACAATAGTTTCTTATAAATTTTTAATTGTAATATTATTTGTTTCTTTTTGAAATTTACAATTTTTTGAAATTCTGTTTACCTTTATATTTTGATAATTAAAAATTTATATCAATTTTATTTTATTTTATAAAAGTTAATTTCATATATCTTAACCAAAAGAAATAAATGAAAATTTAGCTAAATTTATAATTTTAATATAATTTCAACAGAATTTTAAATAAATCAAATTCTTTATTTCTTAATTTTATATTTAACTAAATTCATATTTATATTATAATAGTTCTAAAAAAAAATATCTTAAATACCAACAAAATTGTCTATTAAATATAATTTAAACTTAAAATTTTATCGTTGTACATGGTATGTGAAAACACCTAGTTGGTTATTGTGAAAAGAGTAATATGACATTTTTTTTATGAAAATGAGGAAGTATTATGTTAATAAAACCATTTAAACTTTTAGTGCTCCAAAACGATTGTCTTAACAACAACAGAGAAAAAGACTGTTATAGAACATGACTGGATGACTGAGATGGCCTTATTGAATTCGATTACATACTTGTAACAAGGTTTTGTTTTCTCCTTATTAATTATTTTCCCTTCTCTCAAGTCCCAAGCAAGAAACAACGGTGGTTTTATCGGCTGGAATGCAACTCATGTAGCTCCCACGACGGAACCTTCCTTCTTCAAGGCTTCTTTATTTGTCAATGACTTCGGAGTCTTGTACTGACTCACAGAAGACCCACAAGACACGAAGAAACTCATAAGCTCATCAAAGGAACCACTCCTAACAACTTTAATCTCAAGTGGTCCTATGTTCTTAACTTCTTATCATTTTTTCGCCCGTTTCTATACACAGAGTCAAGACATTCCTCGACGGTGAAGCAGCATTCCTCCATAACGTCGGGGTGAGGCTCGACCTTCACGTCCTTTACTTTACTCCCGAGTTCCCAATAGAGCACGTAGTGTCCTGGAAACAAGGAGGAATCCAAACGGCTAGTGAAATCAATGAGCATTAGTTCATGTGGCTCAAGTAGGAGCTTCGCCTTTGTCACTGCCTTGAGGAGATCTTCTTCGTAGGTCTTTTCCATATCGATGCTTAGAACAACTTTTGGTCTTCCCACGAAACGGAACTGTGGCGAATTGTTGTTGTGACCAATTACTCGTAAAACGTCCCCCAAACGGTACCTATACAGACCTGTAATTCATATTGTTATAAAATGTCATAATCATGGCCAAATAAGTATTTATTTTTAAATAGAAACTTACCAGAAAACGTTGTTATAACAGGTTCATAATCATGTCCAGTTTTAACATCAACAAGATCGACAACCACAGGATCATGACCAGTTTCTTGATGGTCTTTCTTGATCACCAAGAACTCAAAGTATGCCATACTTGGGATGGTGGTGTAAGACACATCACATGGCTTGCTTAGAGGATCTAATTTGAGACCTATAAAACATTCAGAGCTGCCGTAAAACGATGAAATTAAAGGAAGACTGCCACAACAGAATTCCATCATTGGTATATACTTGTTAGTTTATAATTGAGTTTGGTATAATTAATAAAATCATATAAGTTAGTGTGTATATAAAGTGAAGAGGTCTGTCTAAGAGACGTGACTTGTTATACAAGAAAAGGTAGTTACTCATTAGTGAAAAGTCACGTAATGGTCCCATTACGAAGAGTTGTGTTCGTTCATGTAAATAATCTATTTAAGCGAGATGTTGCCATAATGTAAATTTCGTTAATAATAAAGAGAAATTTTCCACTTGTGTTTTGTTCTCTTTATTTTGTCCAACATGGTATCAAAGCTCTAATGATTCGAGGGCCAGTTCGAATAAAAGACAAGAAAAAATATTGCAAAAAAATAGAAGAAATAAAACAGAGATTAGGCAATAACGTTACACTTAGTGATTGTCAAGTTCAGAGAAAAGAGTGATGACTGTATTGTTTATTAAGATGAAAACATCTTAAAGACGCAAGAGATATGTGCGGTGATGGAGAACGGTGTTTCCAAATCAACCGACACCAACAAAATGAGACGTCTAAGGAGACGTGATGGTGATCAAAGGAAGACACCAAGCAAGAAGGAGGCTGCTTACCTAAGAGAAAAAAATGGGAGCAGGAACCGAAGAAGACGTGACGAAGATTACGCACAGCACAAGATGGGAAATGGTTATAGAGATAACTGAAGAAGAAGATGGAGAGAACATCGCAACAAATGATTCCTACATTCGATGGAGATGAGTACTATTTCTGGCGTATTAAGATGATGAACATCTTCAGACCAGAAAACTGGGAACGGTAGTGGAACAAGGGATTCCAGATAGACCGCTGATGTGATGTATGTTAAAAAAAACATAATCACATGGAAAGCCTACCGTTGAAAAAGAAATCAACAAAAATGAAAGTGGTGTACTGGTGAGAAGATAATCACACAGGAAAAGCCGCATGTTGGAAGAAACATAGCAAGGCTACTCGGCACAAAAAAGAGATGTGTACCTATGAGTGAAAGGAAACATTATTTGGTTGTAGAGGCCGGCCCTAGATTTTGGGGGTCTTTGGCGACTTCTATGTAAAAAAAATTTTTGGGGGCCTAAAAATTTTTTTTGGACCTATACTCATGTAATTTTCTTCAAAAATTTTGAGGGCCTGAAACAAATTTTTCACTAGGCATTGTCCAGGGCCGGCCCTGCAACCAACGAAGGCGTGAAGAAGATTCACGCACAACAGCACAAGACTTCAAGGAGGTGTGAAGATAGTCACATGAAACTGAAGGAGATATGTAGAAGACTAGCTGGAAAGAGGATCCTAAGAGTTACTACATAAAAAAAAAAAAACAATTGACAAGAGAGTATCAGTTGTGCAAGAAAGAAAAAGGTAAGAGGCTTACCTGGGTAATGGAAGAAGAATGGACAGAGTTTCCATTTTCAAGAAGAAGAAGAGCATGTATTTCCAATTGCTATGTGGGCTTGTACAACGAGAGATGGCCAAATAAATCAGATATAAACATTTACAAGAGAAAGATCTAAAATTTGAGGATTAACAGTCTATTTTCACACCATAAATATTATATAATTTTTCAATATCTTCTTAATTGCACATATAATAACTAATCAAACTTATTCACCCCATTGTGAAAAATTGAAACACGAATCATCTAAAGTTTAAGGTACAAACTAAAAATCGACATAGCGAGGTTTATAGTTGATTTACTATTCTTAGGGCTTCATCAATAACTCTAGAGTACAAGAAAAAAGAGTAAAATGAGTGAAAACAAAACCGATGAAAAATAAGAAAAATGAAAAGAATAAACTTTCATTTTCTCTAAACCTGTGAATACTTTGTAATTATTTTTTTTGTTAATTTATGTATATAGTCAATATTAGAACTAATGAATGAAATTTATAACTTAATTGATGATATCTATGAAGTTACCAACATTTATGTTAAATAAAGTTTCTAGCTGATCCGAGAAGATTTTCTTGGAAGTATTCTATGCTACTTTTTAAAGTTTTCTACGTTAGTTTTTGAATAACTTGTATTTTTAAGAGTGTTAAGTAACTTCAAGATATGTAAAACTCATATTTTCAAAATATGTTATCTCCCTTAGTTTTACTAAATTTGACTAATTTTTTCAATACAAACTTGTAAACAATGTGATATGCTTTGACTAGTTACTATTGTTTATTTGCATCTCTTAAGTATTATTGTTATAGACACCAATGATGATTATTATTATGAGTTGAAAGAAGGGTTAAAATAGTGTATAAATATGAGGCTACCAAAATTCTTGTTTATTAAGATGAGAAGAAGACCATTGGAGTTTACTCTTGCATATGAGAGATCCAAAGATGAGAAGAAGGCTATTGAATTTTATTATTTCATTTATTTGTAAATGTGTAAACACATTGTTAGCACATATATTACATCTTGGGAAGCATTATTACTGATTTTACAAAAAAATTCATAACTAAAGGAGTACACATACAAATCACAAAACATACCACAAACAAAACTGTTATAGATTATTATATTTTAGTCGTCTGGAAGACTTTCTGGAAGTCGTCTGGAAGACTTTCTGGAAGTCGTCTGGAAGACTTTCTGGAAGTCGTCTGAAAGCTTTCCTGGAAGTCGTCTAGCGCATTATATTTTAGAAGACTTTTGAGAAGATTTCCCATAAGTCTTCCAAATTCTGGTACATATATGAAGTCGTCTGGATGACTTCCTGAAAGTATTCTAGAGCATTATATTTTAGACGACTAATAAGTAAGTCATCCCAAAAGTTTTTCAGATCTGAAAAACCTGCATATCCAAATTCAGATCTGAAAAAACCTGCATATCAAAAAAGTTTAAATGACTTAAAAACAGAGAAAATGAGGGGAAGATTAGATAAGTCTACCTTTATTGAACACACAAAATTACATATCTAAAATTAATAGATCTACCTTTAAATGAGTGGAAGATGAGAACCATATGATGAAAAACCTGCAAAAACAAGATAATTTAATGAGAAAGACATGAGACAAAAACAATAAATTGATATAAACTTTGGTGTTTATAAGTTCAAGGAGATTATAGAGAGGTTGGAAAGTTTTAGAATGATGAACATTACATTTTTGTTGCAGCCATTTGACAGGAAGAGAGAGAATGTCTAAGTTTTTCTTTATATAGAGACAAAAAAATCCAATTAGGTTAAATATTTTTGATTCAAACAACTTACTTGTAAGTCATCCTGAAAACTTAATATTTTTTTTGCGGGAAACCAAAATATTTTTAGCCGAAAACTAAAATTTTTGAGCGGAAAAATAAATATTAGGCGGAAATTTTAGGACGACTTACATGTAAGTCGTCTGGTTTATATTATTAACCAGACAACTTACAAGTTAGTCGTCTAGACCCTAAACATAAGCCCTAAACTTAATTTACCTAATTCAACACTTCATAAAATCAAATTAAACTTAAAAATGTTTACTATGCACATAAATAAACACATAGAGGTAAACAATTTTTTTTTTTCAAAAAACATTCTTGCTTTCCAAAGTCTAACCCTAACAATAAATACAATACTATAACATATGTTGTCAAACCCTAAAACCAAAGATCATCATGATCAACTAATTTCACTCATATATGTTAAAAACTATTCAATTTTATTATATCTTAATTTATATCACCTAAAATTGTTTATAATTACATGATCTTAATTTTTCACTTGACAAAATATATTAAAAAATTAAAAAATTATTTTTAAGATCAACTACATCAGACGACTAATTTGGAAGTCGTCTAGATGACTTCCAGCATCATACGACTCAGACGACTTACTGAGGTTATATTCGTAAAAATGACCTCTTTTTTGTTTGTTTGGTCACAAGGAACTGGCTGTAGTTTCACAAGGCTTTTAGGTTAATTTTGCATTTGATTCAAGTTTGGATATATGTTTGCATTTAAAATCATGTTTTGAGTTATATTTGGAAAATTCCTCAAAAATTAATATACAACTTTTTACTATAGTATATGAATATGTGTTTCTCTCCATTTAAATAGTAAATAAAATCAAATTAAAAACGAAAATATTTTACTTGATTCGTAAACTTTTAGTGGAATTTAGAGGGTTTTCTTTTTAAAAGTAAAAACGTTATTCTACAAATCATATATATAATGAGGAGTGTTTGTGTCTCCCAGAAGTTGCCACATCAGCATTTTTAACGCATGTGGGCCCCACTACAATTCCGGTTTGAATTGATTTTCAAGGCATTGTGTTGGTCTGCTCTCTGTACCAGTTTGACCAAAACTCTTCGTTTAGTGATACATAAGATGATTAGGGTTTTGTTCATGGTGTCTTTCCACGCATCAGTTCTGCCGTCTACATCTACGTTGAGATGCGAGCTCAATTTTCTGTTCAAATCTCTTCATCTCCCTTGTTTGAACCGAGTTTGGTGATAAATGAGTAAGATGATCGACGAAACTTGTCGGTGGGTTATTACGAAGGTGTGAACGAGTATACGAGAAAAGATAATTTATTTATAGTAGGAAAATAGTACAAAGAGTAACTCCGGTGCTCGGAGAGCTTAACCGGAGGTGTACTGAATGATCAAAGAACAACTGAGAGATCATAGGAAAACCTTAATGTGAGCGTCCTCCTAACAAGTCTATTTTCGGATCCTCTTCTTGTTGTGCCTCCCTCTCCTTTTATAGCAGGATCTCTTTCCTTTTGACCTAGAATGGTATGCGGTAGGAATCGTCAGGTTGACGGCTCGATTCTTACTCGGCTAAAGGCGGTCCCGCGCCCCTCGAGCAATTGTTTGGTGCTGCGTGCCTTTATCCGCCCTCGGGTAAGGAGTCGTCTCGCAGAAAACTGATTAATTCAGTTCTCCAGTCTTTGTCTGTGTCGTTTGGCGTTTCTTCAAATGTTTCATGCTTGGTGGGAAGTTCCTGTTCCGCGAGTGTGGACGCGCGTGTTCGGACGGCGGCTACCGAGTTCCCGATCATTGGGTCGATACTCGGCTCCTCGATCTAATATGTATCGGGATCGTTCGCTTTACTTGGTCGCGTAACTTGCTTACTAATGCTGCGAGAGCGTCGGCGCATACGTTCTCTCCTCGGGGATCTTTAGTGAGTTCGAAGAATTAAAACTCCTGGGAAAGGGTTTTGACCAAATTCAGATAGGCGTTCATGCGGTCATTCCGTGTGTCATATTCACCACTGAATTGACTCGTAACGAGCTGTGAATCGCAGTAAGCACTGGGCCGCTTTGCATTGACTGCTTTCGCTAATTGGATACCGGCTAGGAGGGATTTTTACTCGGCTTTGTTGTTAGACGCCAGGAAACCAAAGCTGAATGATTGACGAATCAGTTCTCCAGTCGGGGATTAAAGTTGCACTCCGGCACCCGATCCTTTTGTTTGTCTCGGATCCGTCAACGTGTAGTATTCAGTTCTGGCGCGGCAGGGTGAGTTCTTGGGCGATCTCCTCGTCGAGGTCTTGAGGTAATTCGATGAGGAAGTCGGCTAGGACCTGTGACTTGGCTGCAAGACGGCTTTTGAACACTACATCGTCTTCGCTCAATTCGATTGCCCATTTGGACAAACAGCCGGATTGGTTGGTATTCTACATGACTGAGCGTAGAGAATAGTTAGTCAAGACCTCTATATGGGATTGGAAATACGGTTGGAGTTTCCTGGAGGAAGTGATAACCGCCAAGGCCATTTTTTTGAGTGTCGCGTAGCGCGTCTTGGGGTCGGTTATGCGTTTACTCGTGTAAAAGAGTGGTTTCTGTTCACCGCGATCATCTTTGATAAGGACGCTGCTGATCGCTGTAGGTGAGACAGCTATGTAGAGGGAGAGGATGTCACTGGCTTTGGGTTTTGACAGTACTGGAGGCGTGGTGAGGTACTGCTTCAGTTGCGCAAACGCTTCTTCGCACTTCTCGTCCCAGACGAATCAACATTTATTTCCTCGTAGGAGTTTGTAGAATGGGAGGAATTTGTCTCTGGATCGGGAGATGAACTTGTTCAGTGCCGCGATTCTTCCGGTTAGGCGTTGAACTTCGCGACTGTTTCTCGGACTTGGCAGATCGAGGATCACAGAGATCTGTTTTGGGTTGTCCTCGATCCCTCGCTGGGTTACGATATACCCGAGAAATTTGCCCGAGGTGCGCCGAACGTGCATTTAGCGGGGTATAGCGTCATACCGTATTCATTAAGGGTTTTAAAGCATGCTTTGAGGTGCCTAGGGTGGTTCGCCGCTCGGAGTGACTTGACCAGCATGTCGTCAATATAAACTTTCTTCGTTCGTCTGAGCTTGTCCGCAAACATCTTGTTGACGAGGTGCTAGTAAGTCGCTCCAGCGTTCTTGATCCCAAAAGGCATCACTTTATAACAGTAAGTCCCCAGGTCCGTGATAAAGGCAGTTTTTCCTCTATCATCGGGGTGCATCGTGATTTGATTATAACCCGAGAATGCATCCATGAATGTGAGGAGTTCATTGCCGGCGATTGATTCGACTAAACGACTGATATGTGGGAGTGGGAAGCTGTCTTTTGGACATGCTTTGTTTAAGTCGGTGAAATCGACGTAGACCCGCCAATTTCCATTCTTCTTCTTGACAAAAACTGGGTTCGCTAACCACTCGGGATACCGGACCTCAGTAATTGAGCCAGCAGCGATTAATCACTCAACTTCCTCTGTGATTGCATTTGATCGTTCTGGTCTGAGTTTTCACCGCTTCTGCCTGATAGGTTTGAAGGTTGGGTCGATATTTAGTTGATGTGACGTGATTTCGGGATCGATCCCCTTCATGTCTGATGTTTCCCAAGCGAAGGTCAACTTGTTGGCCTAGATAAATTCGATGATAACGCTTTTCATCACGTCAGGGAGGTAAGCGCCGATTCAGAAGATTTTGCTATGGTCGCTGTCGTCGATCTGAACTTCTAGAACCTCTTCTTTCTGCAGGTAGATTTTATGTCTTGGCTTTGCAACCGCGTTTACGTGAGGTGTTACTTGCTTGATATTCACTACGAGTAATTCGTGTGCTGCTTCTTGATCGCCACGCATTGTCCGGATGCGTCCGTCTGCGCCAGGAAACTTAACGCATTGATGATAGGTGGACGAGGTCGCTTTCATTGAGTCCCGAGTATCACGTGATACGGGGTGCTTTTACCGACGATGGAAAATTTAACTGTGCGAGCGACTCCCCAGCGTACATTGGGAGCCGGATCATGCCGAGCATTTCTTCGGATACTCTGTTGAATCCCGTTAACGAACAAGTGGACGGCTTGATAAGGCGGAGATCGATTCCCATCTTCTCGAGTGTACTGCAGAAGATAAGATCGACCAAGCTACCGGTGTCTATTAATACCTTGGTCACTTCACAGTCTGCGATGCCTACCTCGACGAGTAACGGGTCGTTATGAGGCATATGTACCCCTACAGCGTCTTCGGCCGAGAAAGTGATAGGATGATCGTATGCTGGTGTAGCTGGCCATATTTTGGATGATTTCGCCTGCCGTTGGTGGGCTTTGACAGATCGGACCGAATCTTCGCAGGGTGGTGATCCTCCTATGATGAAATTTAATCTACCCGAATTTTTCCGGGTTAGTTGGGACCGAAGATCACCGACTGCTGACACAAGAGAATTCGGCACTAGCAAAGGTTGGTGGGACTTTGCTTCTGCCTGGGACGTTGCTACGGATCTGACATGGTTCAAATGTTTTCGCATGTCAATGTTGTTCGATCTGTTGAGTTTTTCTTGGAGATCGCCTGTTATAGAGTTCAGTTTGCTGCTTAAATCTGTGGCGTCTTGTGCGCCGGCTAGGCTGGGGGTTACTCGGCGAGCTTTCGATCGATTGAGCTTGTCTCGGAGGTCGGACGTAACATCAGGTTCGCAGGCTGACTTTAGCGTGGTAAGGAGTGTACGCAAGTCACGGGGGTCCGGTTCGTCATCAGATGATGTCTCGTGACTGGCGAGGATAACTTGTATCCTCTTCGTGTTCTTAGGCTGCTCCACCTCGGGGGGTGCGTCGCCGCGATCATGGGATCCCGATCCATCTCCCTTTTGCTGGGGATCGTCTTGTTTTGGCTTGCCTGGAGGTTTCTGGGACCTCATGTCTTTATTCTTTCTCCAGCTATTGTTCCCCATAGGACGCGGTTTTGGCGGGTCAGTTAGAATCTCGCCTAGCGCGTACTTCCCAAACATGATTTCTTTAAGTTGCTTGCAGTCTTTAGAATCGTGTGCTTTCGACTTGTGGTATGAGCAATACACTTCGGGTTCATAGGTATTCAATATTTCCGGAGAGTGTTGGCGCTGGTCACCCTCCTCCTTTCGATGATAGTGATTCCATCCCTTCCCGCGGACCACAACCGTCGAACCGGAAAGTGAATCTTCGTCAACCATGTAGACAAAGCTTTTCTTTTTCGGCGGTTTATCGTCTGCCGAGTGTTTTCTCGGCTCCGGTTTTGAGTCGGCATTTTTACTTGCCGCGGGTTTGGTTGGATTCTGCTTTCTGATGATCGCTTTGGTGTCTTTTTCCATACAGATAAAGTTGTTGGAGCGAGCGATGGCATCCTGGAGTAATGTTGTGGGGTTGCGGTAGAGGTCATCGCGGAACTTCGAGTGGACATAGAGGGTGTTCTGCAGGGCGTCTACTGCAATGCTATTGGGTACTTCGACTTTAGAGACAATTGCCTTGAATTTCTCCATGAACTCGCGTAAGCTCTGTCCCTGAGGTTAGGAGAGTTTCCACAAGTCGGAAGCCGTTGCTTTCTGGTTGGTAAACATTATGTAATGTTTGTGGAAGGCCGTGGACAACTCACATAAACTATCGATGGAGTTTTCCGATAGTCGGGAGAACCAATTCAGGGCAGCCCCGTCAAGACTCTCCACAAATCTTTGACAGAAGCCAGCGTCTCTCTCGGCGTCAGTAAAGTTGGCTCGGCCCATCTCGATGTTGAACGCCGTTATGTGCTCCATCCGGTCATTGCTACCGCCAAATGTTGGAGTGAATTTCTTGGAGTGAGAGCTTCAGTTCGGCGGTTTCTGGAATGGTTTGCAGATCTGGGTTGCTACCCGGTTGCACAGAGTTGTTTGGGAGTCCGGTTGGCACGATGGGCTGGTTAGCCGGAGTAGGGGTATGATTTGTGTTGAAAAGAAATCGTCTGGCTGTCGAAAGGATTCCTGCGGCTCCGTCAGGGTTTTCGAGTACGGCGGCGATCGCAGCGAGTTGCTCGTTTGTCGCATTTTGAGCTTCCTCTTGTTGAGTGAGGCGAGCCATGACGGAATCCATAAAAGTTTCGACGCTCGGGACGGTTGGGGTTTCTTCCGTCTGAACGTCCGAAGGAGCTACTTCGGGTATCATGCTTGCGTCACACTACTTCTTTTTGCCCCACGGTGGGCGCCAATTGTTTGAACCGAGTTTGGTGATCAACGAGTAAGATGATCGACGAAACTCGTCGGTGGGTTATTACGAAGGTGTGAACAAGAAAAGATAATTTATTTATAGTTGGAAAAGAGTACAAAGAGTAACTCCGGTGCTCGGAGAGCTTAACCACAGGTGTACGGACTGATCAGAGAACAACTGAGAGATCAGAGGAAAACCCTAATGTAAGTTGCCGCCTAACCAGTCTATTTTCGGATCCTCTTCTTGTTGCGCCTCCCTCTCCTTTTATAGCAGGATCTCTTTCCTCTTGACCTAGAACGATATGTGGTAGGAGGCTTTCTGTAATGGGCCTTTGCTCGGCCCGAGAGTACCGGGCTCATTAACCGCATTCCCCTTAGTCATTAATCGTCAGGTTGACGGCTCGGCTCTTACTCGGCTAAAGGCGGCCCCGCGCTGAGCTGATTTGTTAGTCACCAAACGGGCCATCGAGCTGTCTTCTAATGGGCCGCATATGCTTTTTCATGGGCCGTGATGGAGGGATGCAATCCACCCCTTATCGATCAAACGAACCCGCCATCTCCTCACTTCCCTTATAAATTTACAGGCTTCGTGATTTTCGCATCCCTCCACTTGAATTGTATGTAAAAAGTAGTTTCCTTGTTTATGTCGATCTTAAATAGTTGATCTAGCCCTGATTTTGAGGCTTTATCATAGCCTTCTTGATAAAGACCATCCGACATTTTGGATTCAAAATGATGCCTTAGTCATAGTTGTGGATGTAGGGTTGTATTTAGTGTTTCGATTTGAATACTATTGTTTTGATCAGGATGTACTTGTAGATTAATGTGTTCTAATCTCATTATGCGTTGGGTAATGATGTCTTTTTTTGTGGCTATTTCAGTATCATGTTGACAGAACACCATTTAGGCCAAGAGAGAAGCATCTGGAGAAGCAGAAGTTGTTCAGAGCATCAATAGGCACACTTACCTCAAAGGACCCATGAACATGATCACCTCCGTTGTAATTCCTCTTGCCTTGGCTGCTTCTTCTCTGTACATGATTGTAAGCTTATCTCCTAATTCTTTGTTGTTCTTTTTCCAAAACAACTATCTACTCTTCTAAATAAATCCATAAATTTCGTCATTTTATTTTAGGTGTTGTTATATTGACGTTTCTTTCTCAGTTCCTCTCCACTCTTCAAAGTTGTGTGAAGGACGAAACCAATAAAAGGGGCGTGAAATGGATTGAATAAGAGGAAACAAAACAGTTTTTTCGTTTTCTTCACTAAATAAAAGTAAACTTGTGATTTTGACTTTCTTTTCAAGAGTTCTTTTTTTTTATTTTGATTTTGAGTTGCAAGAGAGGTTTGGTTCCAAAGATAACCAAGTAGCATATATATTTGCATGTTTAGTAATATTATGCTGTTGTCTTTACAAAACCCTTCTAACGTTGGTCAGTGGCTTAGATACTTATATAGTCTAATGTTTGACTGATGATCAACGTAGAAGCAACCAAAAACAAAAACAAGATGAGCGGCATGATCAAAAAGAAGAATGAAAAGCTCAAAAAAATGATCAAGGTGAAGAATGAAGATCTGAAGAAACTAATCAAGGAGCTGGAGGAGAAGCGTAGTGAGTTAGAAGATCAGAGTATATAAACTCTGCACTCTGCAAACAACTAAGCCAAAGCAAATATGAGATCCAAGAAGCACACAAAGAATTGATTACTATAGTACATTTTTTATCTCCTTGGATTATCTCTGCTGATGATATCATAACTTTTGTGGTGGTTTTACATTTGTTTTTTTTCTGCTGGGATTGAGAGGCTTGTCAGGTGAAAGCTCTACGGTCAGAGTAAAGATGATTGGACATGTTGATAAAAAGCCTTTCCTGATAGTATGCGAGCAGAGATTCAGTGGCCAAAATGTTGCACTGCAACACGCCAGGCTTTGCTTGAAATGAAAAAAAAAAAACGCATGGATTCACAATGGCAACCATTTAAATGAGCGACATATGGAGATACAATTGAGGTTTTGTAGTGTTCTTCCCCTCGATTGCTTTCTTTCTGTTTTGCGGCTGTTGTAGGAGGTTGTGGATGAGGAAGATGAGAAACTTAAGAAGCTGAGGAAAAAGTAGGAGAGAATATGTGAAGGATGCAGTGAAGGCGGCATTCGAGGAACTGAACGAATTTAACCCAAGTGGTTATTTTGTGTACTGTGGAATTTTGAACATGGGAGAAAAGCAGCATTCAAGTAAAGGGATTATTGCTCACGAGACTCATCAGCTCACTAATCTTAAACGCAGACGAGCCTGAAGCAAGCACCACGGATCATGTTGGTTGCTTGTAAAGGGTTTGTGGGCTTCATGAAATATTAAGCTTAACTCAACTACTTCAACAACCTATTCTCAACATTCCCGCGCTTGCGCATGACTACGCTCCTAGTGCAGTATAGTCACACTCTTAATGTCAAGAAGTGGATGAAGCCAAATTTAATTCAAGAAGGTATCAAGAAAACATAAAAGAACAACGTTTTGCTGTCAAGATTGAAATCAAAGATTTAATAACATAAGGTTTGACCCAGCAAAAAAAAAGGATTGAATGACATAAGTTTGCATTTGAACTTTCCAATGAACTATAATATAAACTACATCAAACCGCTTTGTGTTCAAAATCTAACTTCTAATAAAATTTGAGGTAGCCAAATGTATTTATTAAAATTCGATCTTCTTTGAGCAACATAACAGAATCGTCTGCCAACGTAACGTAATCATTTGACAACCATGTGAGATTTTTTTTTTACTTTTAAAGAGGCAGAGAATCAAATCACTTTTAACATAAGCACATGACATGTAACCCTTTACAAGATTTTTTGAACAGAAGTAAAATAAAGCTATTTTTGCATCTTTATATGTGGCTTTGCTTAGTGGTGAAGTAGTTAGTAGTCCGTGCTCATTCTTTGTTTTTGTGGTGTTATATATTTTCTCATATGTTTGATCAAAAAAAAAAAAAAAAATTCTCATCCCCTATATATTAATTGAGAAACATTTGAAAAGATCTAACCTCAAGTTTGTAATAATTAAAAAGTAACCTTGCTTAGTTGTCAATCAATTAGCATACCAATTAAACTGACGTGGCAGCTTTAGGTTCAATTGAAATTTGCTAGGGAAACAATAATTACAGACGCATGTAACGCATGTAACCGAGTTTACATTAATATATATCCCACGCATCAAACCGAGTTTACATTATTTTCTTTCCATAAATAAAAT